TTTCATCCAAAATTTCAAGCATTTAATTTTTAAGACAAAAAATAATATTTTAAGCAATTTTTTTTTAAAATATTTACATTAAATTAACATAATTCTTCAATCACAGTAAACTTTTCATGTTTTATTAAAATTTTATATAAAAAATTATATTTTATTTTTAAGTAAAACTTAAATTTTAGAATTTTGATATTTTTTTAAAATATATATTATAGAGTAGTATATTATATTTTTAAGTGAATAGCACTTTTAGTCCCTAAAATATGTATATTTTGTCAGTTTGATTTTCATTATATCAATTTGGTTAATTTGGTCCTTAAAATATTTAGTTAATGTTTAAATGGTCTATATATGCACAATCTATTAAGTTTTTTTATAGAAGTGATCACGTGATATTATTTAATGGAATAATATGTGGTTATTTTCGTTAAAAAATTTAATGGACCATCTGGTTATGGACTATTTAAACAAGAATTAAATATTTTAGGGACCAAAATGTTATTAATCCTATATTTTATCTTTATTAACCTAACTAATTATAGTAAGCATTGATTAGAATATTACAAATTATTTTTATTTTATTCAAGAAATTATAAGCTAAAACATAATCAAATGAATTTCAAATAAATTATTTTATTTTTTTTTATACTTAAAACAATAAATCGTTGGGAACAAATAATATTTTCGAATTCTATAATATCAGACGAGCAATAAAAATATAATTTTGATAAATTTGAAATGATATTTAATGTATGTACACATATACCTAATACTTTTTATTAATATTTTATATATAAAAATTATTCTCCTACGCATGTGATGCATTACTATATAACTAAAAGGGCAAAAAGTATAAGGGAGAAAGACATAGAGCCAAACCTTCAGAAGTACAAAATGGGAGAAAGAAAGTCAGAGCAAAAGCAAGATGGTGACTCACCACACAAAAACATGGAAAAATAAATAAACAGAAAGTGGGGACTCCCCATGGAGCAAAATAACTGAAAACATAAAAATAAAACTCATTGATGAACGTGAGGAGTCTATCGATCGTCCAAGGCGATGATGCCAACAATCCCTGAAGGAAAGGATGACGAATCAGAAAATCGTTAATTGAGCTGTTAAAAGCAAGCCCAATTAGCCATGTAATCTGCAGCCTGATTCGCCTCCCGCAAGACATAGTAAACAAGAGCCGAGAGAGAAACACAAAGACTCCAAATCCGAGCAAGCAAGTAAGAATAAACCCAACACCCAGTACCTTGAGAAGAAACTCAAGAAATCACTGTAGCTGAATCTGACTCCACTACCAACTCTGAAGTTCCCAAGTCTGAGGCCAATTCCAACTCAACACAAACTACCTACAGCGTTATTACATTAAACATCTTTACTACGACAGTACCTTGTAACAATCCACACACGATTATTGAAAAATTGAAAAAAATGCATAAAATATAAATTAACACATTACATTTAATCCTTGTATATCATCCAGTGATTAATTTTGTCTCACCTAATCGGTTCCATAGATGAAGACTCGATAGTGAGGGACAGGCAGAGCCTATGATCATTGCGAGATGTGAAGATACTTCGATCCTTTGAATGGGAGTAGGCACACCAAGGCTAGCCTTAAGCAGGAGTCTAACTGTTATGCACATATAAACTTTAAAAGAGTTTGTGTGTAATATTTTAAATATCATAAGGTATAAGTGATTAAGTGAATGCAATTCTCCCCTGATGATAATAATTAGGGCAATATAAAATTAATCACATGATTGATGACATAATACAAATTAATGACAATGATTGATCGATTTGTCATTAATCAAATCAGTATTTCAAATCTATTTAACATAACTCAAAAAGTCAAAAAGTTATAAATCTATTTAAAACCTCCATCTTTTTTCCTTTGATCACACTCTTTGTGATTCTCCCTCCCCCGATCCATCGTAGCATTCTGTCTTTGGGTTTCCATTTCTCACCATTTGCATTCAAATTCCTTTTTCTCTCTCTTAATTGGTTTCATGGGTTAGGCTCCAAGAAGTACTGCATTTTTGTGAGCGGAGCGAGCGACTACATTACATTGGTTACTACATGCGCATCGCCTTGCCTCAACCTAAGTGGGCTTGGACTTGGGCCAAAAAAGGTATAATTTTTTGGACAAAATTTATTTGGTGCGGTACGGATTATAGGTCAATCCGAACGGTCCAGTCCATGGATAGATCTCAGGTTTCCAACAAAAATTTAAAGTCCAATCGGATTTTAAATAATATTCCCATTAAATTTGAAATTGGTGCCAAATTGAAGAAGCATGTCTATTTGTTACAGAAATGTATATTTTGTCTTTGTGACTAACCGGATTAAAAGAGTATATCTCTTCAATCCGAACAGTGACAACTCATGCCTTTTCAGGCGATTTGAACAACAACCAAGAGTCTATAAATAGACCGTCTTCTAGCCATTTCAATCTATACCAAAAAATCCTAAAGTCTTTATTTGGATTTTTCTACTTTCTCTTTTTTTGTATTGCATTTCTGTAAGGTTCAAGTATAAAACACAAGTTGTGTTCACTGGTCTATGAAGATTGAAGTGTTACTTTTGCAAAGACATAATTCATTCTACTTTGAGAGGTAGTTGCTCATCAACCTTGAGCACCAAGAGATAGCAAATCTATCTTAAAGAGTTTATGGTTACACAAGACTCAGATTGTTTATTCTGATTTTTTTTTATTTGATTGTTCGTGTAGATCTGTGTCACTGTGAATGCACTGATTTTACTTATTTCTATTTTGATTAAGTTGCATATAACATTATACGGATATAAGTTCAATTCTGTTATTGTATAAATTAGATGTCATACAGTTTAATGTAATCTAATTATATACCTATTTCTATAACAGAAGATTAAAAGAATGTTGTTGTGTAACAGTCCAATAGAAAGACAAGTGCATGAGATAATTTTCTCTCGTGTATCCATTTTTGTGATTGGATGATTTCATAATGGATTCAGATTTTCGACAATACTATTTTTTTCTAATTTTTTTTAGCAGAATATGCATCATTTAAGAGTGAGAACTCACTTTTATACATTAAGTTCCATTTAAATTCACAATAAGTAATCTATCAAAAAATAATTAAAAAAAATTAACCATTATCGGGGTTTTGGACTAATTTGTGGCTACACACCTCATCCCTGGTCTGTTTCGGATTTTTAAGGCTACGGCTTCTCAGTTTAACTGAAAAAGTGCAACTTTTTAATTCAAGTAGGTCATGAAATGATGCCTTTTCAATGGAGAAAGGACCACTTTCTCATGGGGTTCACTTGCATGCAATGAATTTACAATAACAATACAAAATGTTAGTTGGTGTACTTGGGGGGGTAAAGGGATGACGAGGAATTTCAAAAACTCCAAAGAAATTATTAGTTTGGGATTCATTTGTTTTTTCTTCTTAATGTCTGAATTTGTATTAACACAAGCTTAGATAAGATAATGTTAATACTAACTAAAAAATAAGACGAAAAAGATTAAATAATGTGCCACCAACGTGACGATATTGTGCCTGTTTGGAACTGCTTGAAATATGTTTATTTTATAAGCTTTGGAGTAAAATAAGTTAGGTTGGTTTAAAACTAAGTTTTTGGACTAGTTAAGCAGTAGCTTTTTGAACCAAAAAAAAAAATTATTTAGGCTGATTCGAGAAATTGATTTTATGAGTTTTTCTTCTGTTTTTGGGAATTTTGTCAAGGGTCCCACATAAATTTTTTTTTGTTTATTATATTCATAAAATATTATTAGTAATGTAAAAAAATTTAAAATTCATATTTTGGGAAATTCATAAAATATACATGTAATTAATTAGTAGTTATAAATCACTAAAGCTTCAAGATTCTATTTAGATTCTATGTATCTCCTTTTGTAAATCACTAAAGCTAATCTCACGCAAGTCTTTTGCTCATTGCGGTGGCGTTGGGATTCAGACACAAAACCTCCTACTAAACAACGTTGTAGATTATAGAGTTTTGCAGATTTTTTTGTTTAAGATCTCATATTCCAATCAATATGATTTCTAAACTGCGTAATTCATAATTGTTAAGGTGAAGTTATGGGATGGAGGAGTTAGGCGCTGCTTAATAAGATTTAAGATTGAAAGATGAATACTGAAAACTGAATGTTGAATTTTAAGTGTTGAGTATTAAATTTGTATTTTATGGACTGTTTGATACCCACTAAAAAGATATTCTTTTTTAACGATTTTAACTTTCAGAATTAAGTCAGAAATTTCTTACTTAATATTTTAGACAATTTTTAATTTTAATTTTAATTATCAAGCGGACTTAATTATTTAGTGTCGAATACATACATTTTAAATGTTGAATTTGGGTTATTAAACACACTCTTAATCTGTGAGTAAATATTTAAGTAACAATTATACAATATCGGTATTATCACGTAATATAATCGTCCAATAAAATACTTAAAAAAAATATACAAAAAGACTCCAATTTTTTTGAGTAATGCTATTAGGACCTAATTTACTATGACATTTGAATTGACTGTGGGCTCCATCAAATATTGAAACTTAGTGTTAATCCAATGATCACGTCATTAGGTCAGCAAATTATGTCAGATTTTTAGATCAAAATAGCATTTTCCATTTTTTTTTATATATAGTGGAGTGGGGCAAAGGCTTAACTGTAATTTGCCTTTCATTTTATCCCAATTCTTGTAGGTTTAAAAGATAACTGTTTTGTAATATTACAACTGTACTGGAACGTTCCAATCCAACAAAAAAACATAGAAATTAATTTCAAGGGTTAATTGCAATAACCTTGGACAAAATAGATATTAATTTCAATAAAAAAAATAATAATCATGGAGAATCATAATTCTACTAAAACTCGAAAATAATTCAAACAAGACTTGATGATTATATTCTCTCTCTCTCTCTCTATATATAGCTCGATCACTACCCTACACCAATAAACTGAATATTGATTTTTTGGCAACCATGGCGGTGAATAACAATAGTCACCAAGAACCAGAATGGAAGAGATACATTCCATTAGGGTACGTTTTTCACCCGACTGATAGAGAGGTTTTTAAGTATTTGCTAGCAAGGGTGCATGGAGAACCCATCTTGCCCGGGCTCATCCATGACACAGACATCTATCAATGTCAACCGTCAGATCTTCCAGGTATATATATCCAAACTTTTCTAATATCTCAATGATAGTGGTTGAAAGATGCTAGAGTTTGAATACTGATAACATATGATTAAGTTGATGTTGTAAATTATTGTTTTCTTGACATTCTTGTTTCATTATGTGCATGTGACAAAAAAAAAAAAGGCTTGGAAAGAGAAGCACAATCTTCGTTCTTCTTTACATTGAGAGAGAGAAAATATCCAAATGGAAAGAAACCTTCTCGGTTTACAAAGGATGGTAATGGGTATTGGAGAATGACGAGCAAGCTCAATGAGGTTAGAGAGTTGGATGGGTTACTCTTAGGGAAGAAGAACACTTTGGTTTACACCCTCAAGGCAGAAGGCGAACAAGGCAAAGGTCGAAAGATGGATTGGATAATGCAAGAATATGTGCTTGATGAAAGTTTAGGCTCGGTAAGACTATTAACATACCTAATACATAATCTACATTTATAAATAAGTTGGATATGAAGTGAATAATTTTTTGACACGACATAGCTTATACAGGTGGACGATGTTGTGCTGTGTAAAATTTACGAAAAGAAATCAGGAAAAGAAAGCGAAAAGAGCCCAAGTGACAGACAAGAGATTAGTGTACAAGGAAGGTTGTGTACTGAATCATCAGTTGTAGCTGATCATCAAACAAGTCTTGGTAAGAGGAAGCAATCACCAGTCCATTACACAGTTCTTGAGGTTGGCGAGCCGAGCTGCAGTGGTCAATGGAACAGTAACCCACAACCTTATGAACCAAGCAAAAAGTCCAAGCACTCGGTTGGCGAACCTTGCCAATTACCCACAAAGTCTAGTCCTTTTCAGGTTGATGATCAATTTGGCCAAATAAATAATAGGCTAATTAGCCAGTACTTGGTTTATGAAACTTCTGGATTGGGGGTTGGTAAGTCATCATGTGAAGCAGCTTGCCAATTGAACCAACAACAATCTACTAATCAACAAGAAGCTTTTAGGCCTTTGAGTAGTGTTACACCACCAACATGGGAAATCAGTGAAACAAATTCATCAGGCCTAATGGTCTTCAACCACAACCAGTACATTAGACAACTACCAACCATGATTGACAGAAATGATCCACTGATTCCTCCAATGCTAAACCATGATGATCAATATGGGCCTATTGCTGCTGGAAGTAGGGGACAACAGATACCATTTGAGGAGTCCACAAATGTCGGTTTTCAGAACAACCTTGTTTTCAGCAATGAACATGATGATCATCAGCAGCTGCAGAACAACATGAGTACTATAGATCACTCGAGTTCGCAGACTTGCAATGCTGGAGGAAACCAACAGCTGCCAGACGAGTTTCCTGCTCCACCGACAAGCAGATGCGCCGGATTTTATGAAACACAACTTGGAATGCCACACGAAGAATATGGGTTTGATTTGCTTTCCCTCATAGAAGATGAACGGTTGTTCATTGAAAAGTTTTTTTTGTAACAAATAACGTATTAGATTGTGTCTAGACTCTAGAATCCTAGATGTTTACAACTATAACTTTGGTTGTATATAAAGGATATTGTTTGGTTGTTTAATTTACTTGGTTAATTTTATTTTTTTTTCAATGGTCAGAAGTGTATGTGTCAACTTACACACATCCCGACTAATTCTCTTCACGATTCAGTTAAAAGTAGACTCACTTATACACACATCGACTAATCCTCTTTCCGATTAGATTAAAGGCAAACTCATCCACGCTGAGATTAGGATATTCATGAGGGATAAATCTCTCATAACCTGAAGCCAAAGAATTATCAAGATTCGAACTCGAGATGTCTGAATTTATAACTCGTTCCAATTACCACTAAAACTATCCCTTAGGTTTAAAAAAAAAGGTATTTATTAGGTTAATTTCAATGTGGGCCATTGTAGCTGAAGCTATACAAGTTCACAAACAGTAGCTATAGATTTGTTTTGGTTAGAAAGCAATTCTGCAATGACTCTTTTTACACTTACTGTATGATTCTTGAAGTCTTGACCAACCAAGGAAAAAACAAAACAGGTGGTCACATGACTCGACCAAGCAAACGGAATCAGTAAAGTTGAAGAAGAAGATCATGTTTTAGGCCCTCATCAGCTTAACTGTGTAATATATGGAATTCAATATTTTTTTATTATTTTCATCTTCACAATCTTTTCCCTCTGCATGTATCTTAAGTGAGTAAAAACCGAATTGTATAGTTGTTATGAATCGAACTTGTCCTTGAAAATCGGTTTATAAAAAAAGGTGTCAAACATTTTATATATACATATCTAATCTTATTTTTAAACGATGTAAGATATAAATATGGTTATAGTAAGTATTAAATTACTATGTGCTCTAAAACTTAAATTGTGAAAGAGTGCATAACTTGAAAACTATTTCATTCATCATATATAATTTTCAATCGAGAACTCGCATGATTAGGGCAACTTGAACAAGAAGAAACATAGGAGAAAAACAAAAACTAAATTGGATGGTGGGTGCTTATTAAACCACAAGATGCTTTCCCATCACCACTACGATGTTGAATGAGCTCTCTCGATCATTTGCGTCCTGATTAAAGCAATTTGGCAGCATAGACTGCCATGTTACTGAGCTCTTTCATTTCCCAATTTCTCTGAGTCATCGTCGGACTCTTGAAAGCAGTTTGACAGTCATCTATTTGTTTAGCTGCGTCGAATTCAATGCTAGCCATTTTTTTGTAATCCCGGAAATTAAATAGCCTGAAGGCCTCTGTGAAAATGTCTGTCAGTCTGCTATAACTATCAACACAAATGTTTAGAAGGCCCTTCTGTTTCGGATCACTTGTGTTGTCTCTCAACCTTAGTACGAATACTTGATTGCTTGTCGCGTTTAGCAATGATTGGGCAATGGCTATCTGATTTAGACCAACAATATTTGTATTTGGAACAGGTAGGTTATGGACGAAAACGGTGTAGCAGTAATGATGATCAAGCCCACAACAGTGGTCACAAATCCATATGATCATTTCTTCGGTCTCACTAGTACTAATGGAAGGCTGGATGAAGAGGAAAATAACCATTAGAGAGAATAGAAGGCGGAAACACGAAGAATAAACCATTTTAGTGTTCTTAGGTTTGAAGGTTAGGAGAGATGAAATGGATTGAAGGTAGTTCTCGTAATTATACCATTAACATCATGAAGAAGCATTAATGCAATAATCATTATTACTATAAGCATATGCATAAGTTTTCCTTATGGGTGCCATTTATGAATTAATAGTTTTGACCATGCAATTGCTTCTAAAGATGTTTGGACATAGATATATGTAATCTTCGTAGACCCATATGCATGAATACCATAATTTTCATGCATTCATAACATGTCAAGGTTAGTCAAACCTATATAGTTACTTTGTAATTGCTTTGAAAGATGATTGTGCATGGATATATGTAATCTTTATAGATTCATAATCTCATGATCTCACAAGAATTCTCATGCCTCCATTAAATATCAAAGTCAAAGTCATTTTTATCATAATTGGTTCCAAAGGTATTTTTGGTGATGAGTTAATAGCTCCTCACTCATTACAAGAATTATGACCTTTTGAGATAATTTTTTTTGTAGCAGTTATGTTCATTGTCAAAAAAAAAGTGATTTTAAAGAGAAAAAAATGGTGACAATAGTACTGTCACAAAAAATTTATTACTATCTCAAATACTTTTTAAAACTCCACTTATTGTGGCGGCCATTGTGGTGACATTGGTCACCATAATAAGTGGAGTGTCTCGAAAGTTTTTATGGCGACAACAAGTTGTCTCAAATAGTGTTTGCAGCGGCAAACAACCCTTTTGTGACAGCATTATCACCACAAAAACTTTTTTTTTTTCAAAACACTTTTTTTTTAATGACGGTAAGCACAACTGTCACAAAAAACTCTAATTATTATAGTGATTGTACTTGTGCTTTTATCGCTAATCTTCATAGATTCATACGCATCACAACAATAATCTTACATGCCTCGGTAACATGTCTACACCATTTTATTTTTAGCATAGTGACCACATGATTTCTCCTTACTATATTTGTGCATAGACATATTTAATATATCCTCATATATTCATAGTGTTGAAAATGTTGTCGTGATATTTCTTGAGTAGGATGGCGTCAAAAGTTTAGTTCGACTTAACATCTTAACCTACGGATATCTACGTGTATGTTACATTTGAAACTTCAAAATTTTAGTTTTCGATGTGTGATTGATTGTTGTGACCAGCAAATAATATGGTTTTTTTTTCTTGCATGTTTATCTATTGGGCTGTGAAGAGTCATGAAGATGGAAACGACGAACCAACACTAGATTCCATATTTTACAAAATAAAATTCAAATCAACAAATTCTTGTCGCAATCATTTAAGAACAATTGTATGACTCATGTGTTCCTTCATTACTAAGTTCTTACAAATCTTGTCGTAATTATAACCTTCTTGTTGTTAGCTTGCTCAATACTACGTTCCTTATGCAAAACACAACAATCTTAATTGCTGGGAAAAAAAACACTACAATCTTCATCCCTTGATTGTTGCATGTTACATAGTTATGTGGTAGCTGAAATTTTAGTTTGAAAGGTATGATTTGATTTCCGTGTCCATTAGATAATGTGGTTTCTTCTTCTTTATTTTTTAGGCGGAGCAGAGTTGTGAAAAATAAATTATCAACTAAAATTACAGTTAAATAAATAAAACTTATTGTTTTTAATCATGTCACATATACACATTGCGATTTTGGAAAGGGGGGAGGTTAGCGGAGTTCAACAGGAGGTTCAATATGTATGTTTAAAATTCAAAGTCACCTAAAAATGTAAACCTGGCGGTGATAAACTCGTTCATATTATATTAAGATTTTTTTTTTTCATTTTTTCCTTCTAATTCGGTATTTCCACACACCAAGGGATTCAATCATATAATATTGGGTACATGGCTGCCATACCAATTGCACAAAGATAGTGAACTCAACTACAATTGGCTCAATAAGCATACTTAGAATCAAAACTCACTGAAAAATTGAAACTTATAGATAATGAGTCTATTCATAGTATATTAAGACTTGTTCACTTCTTTTTCCTTTCGATGGTAGATTTTTGCCTTGATATATCAATAGAGAGAAAGAGAAAATATTAATACGAGCATGCATGGTGGTGGTGAGGTACGTAACAACAAGGTCTCTTAATTTTGGTTATGAGTAACAAGGAGCCTTCTTCTTAATTGACCTACTTCCTTCTGAGTGGACGGATGAATTATTAGGTTTGGCTATGCCTATGCCATTGCTTGTAGATATATATACTAGCTGTAATATTAGATAGATTTGTAAGTAGACATTTGTGATTTTCAAGGATAAATACAATAATGTTCATGACTCGACACTCTGTCTCAAGCATAGCAACGGTCGAATAATTGCTTCTCAAGACATGTGTATAGATATATGTAATCTTCATAGATGCATAGACATGAATTCAATAATCTTCATAGACTCATAGGCAAGAATTTAATAATCTTCATGCATAGATAAAATGTCAAATCCATCTTAGCATAGTAACAATGTAACAGCTGCATTTGTAATCAAAGGTAGTGTAAACTACCTTCAACACAAACACACACACACACACACACAAGAGACATGGTTCGACCTATATATAAGTTATTATCATATTTCATTCATATATCATATGTCCTTCCAATGAAGAACTCTCATGATTAGACCAAAGTACAAAAAAGAGAAAACACTAAAGGACTGATGGGTGCTCATTAAGCCACAAGAAGATTCCTAGTGAGCATTGCCATGTTGATGAGCAACACTTTCATTTGCCGCCACTAATGAGAAGATTGGCAATGGTTGTTGCCATCTTGATAAGGATTTTCATTTGTCGATTCTTCGAACCCAACGGGGGATTCTTGAAAAGGTTTTGGCAGTCATTCACGGGTCTTTCCGCTTTAGATTCAGAAAAAATCACAGAACAGTAATCCCTAGAATTGAATTCCCTAAAGGCCTCTCAAAAAAAGATCTGTTATTATACCGTAACCCTCCGCACAGATCGTGTAGAGTTCCTTTTGTGTTTTATCTAAAGTTGAATCTATCAACTTCACTATAAAAAGGTGAGTGTTTGTCACATTTAGTAATGATTGGGAAATTGTTAGTTGAGTCAGAGCATTAGCATTTGCTGATGGAGTCAAAATGTGATGGGTGAAAACTAAGGAACAAAAATAAAAGTTTGATAAACAACATCTGTTACAAATTTGTTTGATTAGTTTTGCGGTTCTCGGATTGATACTCATGGAAGGTAGGATGTAGAAGAAGAAGAGGATGATCATTGAAGGAAGTAGTAGAGCGTAAGAAGGAGAAGAAAAAAGGCATTTTGGTGTTCTCAAGTTTGAAGTTTACGAGAGAAGAAATGGAGCAAATTTTGGTGATGGCTCTAGAGAGAGTAGTGCTCGTATTTATACCATTAACATCATGAAGAAGCATTAATGCAATAATCATCATTACTCTAAGCATATGCTTATGAATTATTAGTTTGGACATAGATATATGTAATCTTCAAATACCATAATTTTCATGCTTCCATAACATGTCAAGGTTAGTCAAGCATACAATGGTTGAGGGAGGAAGGGTTAGGCCCACCCTGAATTTTTTTTGACTTATTAGCAACGCACCACGTGCAACAAATTTTTGCACATAAAAATATAATCTCTAATTTTTTAAATTTAATTTTTCACCGCTCAAATTCTATTATAAGATTATGAAAATTTTATATGTTCCCAAAATTCATTGTTTAAACTATAAGAAAAAAGATATAAAAAAATAATTAAAGTTCTATTTTTTTAGAATTTTGTGATTGTGAATAATTTTTTTAGTGATGTTTGAGAAATTAAATTTTTTGAAATTTATTGGATTAAGATTTCACTTATAATTCCTTGAATAAAATAAAAGTAATTGTTAATATACTAATCATATTGAAACCTTACTATAATTAAGAATTAGTTAAGTCAATTGGGATAAGATTTAATATGCTACTTTATAATATATATTATAAAATATAGTAAAATTCTAAAAAATTCAAGTTTTACTTAAAAATACACTATAATCTATTTACACATAAAATCTTAATACAATTTAAAATTTTTATTGGAATTGAAGAATTACATTGATATAACACAAATTGATTTTAAAAAACTATATATAAGATTATATTGATTTTAAAAACTATATATAAGATTATATTTTATCTTAAAGATGAAAGGGTTAAACCTTTCGATGAAAAAAGAAATACACTTATATAGGCATAATGTTATATTTACAGATGAAATCAGTAATATTAGATTAATGGAGTTTTTAAAGGTTTTTTGAATTACTTTATTAAAAATATAATGATATACATATTTTTTAAAAATAATATAGTCAACTAAAAAATTTCATAGAAACTGATATTTATATGAGCAATGCTATAGAGACCTTATTTGAGAACCTAATAATGTGGTTTCAATGTAACCATTGGATTAGTTGTGAGTTCCAATGTTAAATGGAGCTTACAACCAATCCAATGGTTGTATTGAATTAGGTCCCTAGATTAGGTCCCCAAATTAGGACCAAATAGCATTTTCCTATTTATATATAAAGAATAGATAATTGCAATTCTTTATAAGAGTAAAATAGAGAATCAAAAATTTTTCATATTAAGGTACTTTTATTAGTAGTTTATAGTTACCTTGCAATTGCTTTGAAAGATGATTGTGCATGGATATATGTAATCTTTATAGATTCATACTCTCATAATCCCATAAGAATTCTCAGGCCTCCATTACATGTCAAAGTCATTTTATCATAATTGGCTCCAATGGTATTTTTGGTGATGAGTTAATAAGTCTTAATTATGGCTAATAATCAAGCCAAACTTTACGAGTTTGAGTCAAGTTTGCTGAGTTCACTTTTCTAAACGAGATTAAATAATTGTTCAAACTCCGCTCGTTTAGAAAATGAGTCAAGCCCAAAAAGAGTCTAAAAAATTATTCAAGTTTGGCTCGCCTT